TACCATATCATACATGGACTAGCAATCTATATTAACATTTCAACCAGATTAGTAGAACCCAATAGAATATAAATGTTAAAAAGGTCTAAGTTCAAATACCAATTCTAGGCCAGGGGTCTCTCCAACCTTGGCCACTTTATGGCTTATGGACTTCAACTCTGAGGAATTCTGGGAGTTGAAGTCCACAAGCTGTTAAGTGGCCAACTCTGTTTCCCCGAAAATAAGACATCCCCTGATAATAAGCCCAATCGGGCTTTTGAGCACATGCGCCAATATAAGCCCTCCCTGAAAATATTTAAATGCAGAGTTGAAAATCAGACAAGACGTCAAGAGGAGCCCCATGTTGATCTACATGCCCCAAAATAACAAGACCTCCCTGAAAATAAGGCCAAGTGCTTATTTCGGGGTTCAAAAAAATATAAGACAGGGTCTTATTTTCGGGAAAACACAGTAGTCGCAATGTGATCTACAGCTTGACGTGGAACCTTTAGAATAGATTTTATTTGTAAGCCTCTCAGAGTCACCCCGAGAGTGAGTGGGCGGCCGTATAAATCTTCTCACTGAATAAGTAAATAAATTTTGCATACCTCCCGTAATGCATAATGGAGGAATAGTCATAATCGTCCAGCATGTTGGTATTCCAGTTCTTGATGAAGTTAATTTCAAAACCTGAAAAAAACCAACAAGGCCATTTTTAATCATCTAAGAGTCATCTTAGCAGACAATTAGCAATCGGAATTCAAAGACAATAAAAAAAGGTGAAAATTAAGCAAAATTTAAACACAGGCATGGATATGTTTTCCTCTGCATCTCTAGAGCTACCTTCTCACGGCTGGTGGTTACACGAACCTATAATTGTATTGGACTACAATAATGTGTAGACGTAATGTCAGCATTCTGATGCTGCCATAAAAAGGAGGAGACGAGGCTTGACTTTTCACCTACTTATTTTCTCTGTAGATAATATCCCCTAGGAGATGGGAGGGGAGGGGAGACATTCCTGTGGGCTGAGGTCAGAAGCTGGGGAGACTGACTTGGAAGATGGCCAATGAGAAGATGAGAATTGGGGAACAGAAAGGGAAGGATTTGGGGGTCAGAGGGTTAGTATCGGCTACGACGAAGTCGAGGCCAGATCTGTCGCACTCAATAAATGGAATATTTCAGCAAAGATTAATAGTTTGGGAGTGCAATTTATTTATGAGATGACATCGAAACCTGACACGAAGTTTTAAAACTACAGTTTCAATTCTAACCTAACTTCCGTGGACCTCATCTCACCTGACAGGGAGCCACAGCAGAGGACCCAAAGAGCCGCATGTGGCTCTGGAGCCACAGGTTGCTGATTCCTGATCTAGTCCCTTGATTGGGAGACCATTTGCAAGCCGCAGAAAAAGCCCTTCCTCTGACCCAAAATGGCTGTGAGAGCAGCCCTGTCTCTTACCAGTCAAGATCTCATTCCAGGAAATGTGGATGTATTTGTCTCGGTCAGCCCTGGAGTGTTCGTGCCAGAAGCCCAAGACATGCATCAACTCATGTAAAACCACTCCTTTGCCATTCTTCAGGCAGTCTGGAGCCAGGGACACCACTTGCATGCCTCCGATGCGTCCCGCGCTGGAGAAGCAGCTGGGAAAAGAAAGAAGAATTAAGACGTTGTGTTGCAAATTAGATGGGCTAATGCCCAGCCTCCTCTTTCAATAAAAACAACTCGGCCATTTGCCATGCTGTACTTATAGTAGACTTCTGGTAAACAGAAGCCATTAAACTGTCTCAGAAGCTAAAGCGAGATGCAATATTTACAACTCACACCTCCAAAGCAGTAGAAGAACTGTCGACAACTGTTCCTTTCAATATATAACCATTTTTCACACGTAACGACCATCGCAGCGTTCCCCCCCCCCCAACTCCTATTTATGACGGTGGCAGAAATGGACTAGAAATGGGGCAAAACTCAGTTAACAAATGTTAACATTTTTAAATGTTTAAATTTTTAAAATGTATTGCGAGCCACCCTGAGTCTTCAGAGAGGGGCGGCATATCAATTGAATTAATTAAATTAAATTAAATTAAATTAAAAGAGAGAGACAGACAGAGAGAAACACAGAGGGAATAAGAAAGAAGATACATCTTTACAAAACATGTGGGATACCAGTAAAGCATACATAAGAGGATTGGCAATAACATATTTAGAAAAACGAAATAAACAAAACAGACAAATGCAAAAGAACTTAGAGGAAGAATATTAGAGATTAGAGAGGGAACTACAAAAAAACCCCCCGCGCGACAAAAAGGTTAAAACTTGAAAAAAAACTAAGATGAATTTAATGGAAAGTGAAGAATTGGCGAATAGAATAAAAGCTACAAAGCAAAACTTTTTTGAAAATGCAAATAAAACCAGGACGATGGTTAGCATATAAAATGAAAAAAAAAAAGAGAAAGAAAAGAAATTAATAAGTCAATTAATAGATCAAGATGGAAAGATACGTTGTAGAAGTGGAAGGAAAAGAAGAGGATAATTGAGAAATACTACAATGGGTTGCATCAACAAGAAATAACAGAAGACGACGAGATAGAACAATATTTGAAGAAAATGGTACTGTCTAGAATCCTGGATCAAAACATTATTAGAAGAAAGAATATCTATGATGGAATTAATGGAGGGAATTAAAAGACAAGAGAGACACACACACAGAGAGAGAAATTATCTGCAGCAACTTTCTCCAACTTGGGGGACTCAAGTGATGTTGGACTCCAACTTCCATCAGCCCCAGCCAGCCAGCACAGAATCAACTCAAGGAGACCATCTGAAAAAGCTTCCTTGGGCGTGATCGGTTCGTGAAGCAGAAGTCTTCAGGAAGGAGCAAAATTTGAGAAAGGAAGCCGAGGAGCTTCGGCAAGACACATCCTCAGATGTTACTTACCCAGAGAGTGGAACGATGGAGATGAAATCTCTCTGGTAGGAATAAGGGACGAACTGAATGCAAGTGAATTTTGCAAAGTCTTCAAATGCTTCCTTGATGATCTTCACGCTTTGTCTGTCTGGAATGGACAATTCAGGGACAAATTACTGCGAGTTCAAATCTCCCCAGGCTCAAGGTCGACTCAGCCTTCCATCCTTTCTAAGGTGGGTAAAATGAGGACCCGGTTTGTGGGGGCAATAAGCTGACTTTGTATAAAATATATACAAAAGGATGAAGGCTATTGCTTAACGCATTGTAAGCCGCCCTAAGTCTCCGGAGAAAGGCGGCATATAAATCAAAATAAATAAATAAATAATAAATAAATTGGTGGTGGGGGTTTTTTTGGGGGTCCTTAGAGGGAAAGCTTTTAGAAGGAAATAGGCAGTGGTGAAACCCAATTTTTTTTTTTACTACCGGTTCTGTGGGCGTGGCTTGGTGGGTGTGGCAAGGGAAGGATATTGCAAAATCTCCATTCCCACCTCACTCCTGGGGGAAGGATATTGCAAAATCTCCATTCCGTCCCCACTCCTGGGGGAAGGATATTGCAAAATCTCCATTCTGTTCCCACTCTTGGGGGAAGGATATTGCAAAATTTCCATTCCCACCCCACTCCTGGGGGAAGGAAATTGCAAAATCCACATTCCCTCCCTGCTTCGGGAGAAGGATACTGCAAAATCCCCATTCCCTCCCCACTCCAGGGGAAGGATATTGCAAAATCTCCATTCCCACTCCACTCTGGGGCCAGCCAGAGGTGGTATTTGCCAGTTCTCCAAACTACACAAAATTTCCGCTGCCGGTTCTCCAGAACCTGTCAGAACCTGCTTAGACCCCTTCATATGGCCACTCGTTAGATGGATTTGATGATCCTACCAAGAATCCTGGTTTAAGATCCTGGCTAGAGATCGCCCAGTTGAAAAAGCAAACCGAAAGATTCCAGAAGTGGTGGAGATACACCACTGAAGTTGAACCTCTGGATTTTGCAATGATTTCTTTGCAATTAAAATTACCAGAAGAAGAATGCGGTTGTTTGTTTTCATGTCACCAAAGTTTTCAGAATAACCAGAATAACAGAGTTGGGAAATGGACCTTGTAGATCATCTGGCTTGCTGTCAGGGTTCCGACGGATGCCCTAATTAAATCATGAGCCTCGAGCCAAGCTTCAAAAGAAATCCAGTTATTTATTAGGAGCTTCATGTCAGCAAGTTCCCAAGTGAAGACAGCTCTGACCCTACATAACTTATGCCCCAATCATGACCCTGTTTCCCCCCTCCAGGGTGTGTTATCAATCACATTCGCCAACGGAGCAATTTCGCGGGTTGTAGAGACCACTCCCCTCCAGCCGCTGTGGGTAACCCTGGGATACAGCCTTGAGAGAGATAAGTTTGGAATGTACATCTGTCTTTAGCTGCTGTGCTGTTTCGTCAGTTTCCCATCCCTCCCTTGCTTATGGCAACTCGAGAGCAGGCCAGGGATGTTTTGTGAGTTGACACTCTGGTCCTTCCAAGAAGATGGAAGCCTGCTATTGTTTCTTTTCACCCACGTGGAAGTTTTCCCAGAGTTTGCTCCTTACCGTATTTATAGGAGATGATATAGGGAATTTGGACAATTCCTTTCCTCTTCGGCCACCTCGGACTGGCAGCGGAGAATCTCCTGAAGGGGCTCTAGAAAGAAAAAGGCAGTCCCTCTTTCACGGACACACACACACTTCTCTTGACAATTAAGATAACTGTAGTTATTCTCCGTGCATTTATTAAGCAACCCATTTCTGCCACTTTAGAAGTTCAAATTCATCATCTGTTTTTAAAGGCTTCGTCAGAGGCCTTCCAGGACCCCCTAATAGCAACATTAACAAGGCAGCAGAGTTAATTTACCACCGGCGAGATTGGCGAAAATGTTTAAGGACAAATCAACTAAATGTTGGAAATGCCACCAAATACCTGGATCATACTATCATATGTGGTGGACATGTGGCAAAGCAAAAAAGTATTGGACAAGAATCAAGTCATGGTTGGAAGAGGTGATACAGCAAGTTATTGAATTGAAACCAGAAATATTTCTGCTAGGAATTTTACCTGAAATTTATAATAAAGAGAATGTATATTTGATTATTCATGTATTAACTGCAGCTAGAATTGTATTTGCACAACATTGGAAAAGTGGAGCGATTCCCATTGATGAGAAGGTGATAGGGAAAATATTAGAATGTGCAGAAATGAACAGATTAACATTGGCAATTAAGGAGAAAGAACAAACTGAATATTATGTGATTATGGGAGGTATTTTATCAATGGCTGGAGGGAAAAAAGGGGGGGGTTGAAAATGAAGAAGATTAAAGAGAAAGTAAAAATACATTAAGATAAAGATATAAATAAAAAAGGAAATTGTTAGTGTGTACATATATACATATATATATATTTTCTGAGGTTTTCACGGGTATTTGTATGTAGGTCTTTGGTTATTCGGGTTTTCTCCCGCGTAAAATTGGAAGTGTCTTGGCGACATTTCGACAAAGTCTCATTCGTCATCTTCAGGCTGGTGTTTTCGGCTTCGTGCTTCTTTCTGCGATCTCACATTGCTCCTAGAAGCACGAAACCCGAATAACCAAAGACGTACATATGAGAATAAGGACGTTTAAAGTTAAAATGTATTATTATTATTATAAGATATTAAGAAGAAAATGGAGAGCATTATAATATTTAAATGTTATTAGAATATTAATCTTAGGAAAATAATGTTATGTGAATGCGAATGAGATGGAATGTTGTTGCACAGAGATTTTGTAACCAGACCACACCCTGCAGATGGGACAGATGGAATCTGTTCACTTTTATCATTGAAAAATAAAAAACTTTTTGAAAAAATAGGCAACAGAGTTAGAAGGAGACCTTGGAGGTCTTCTAGTCCAGCCCCTTGCTACATCAACCTGGACAAATAGTTATCCAAACTCTTTTTTTTTTTTAAATTTGCCCAGCTGCTAGAGATCTTCATCTCTCTAGCACTTCTTGACTTACCACCTTGATGATATCGCCTTCAAGCAGGAAACTGTGCTCAGGTGCCTCTAGCGGAATCAGTCCTGGGAACAGAACGTGGGAATGGTGTAAAAGACAAACTACTGGACTTGAAGTCTGAAACTCAAGAAACATCATTACTCATAGCTTGGCTCCAAAGGGGGCCAAAAATGTATAAATATTGTAATTAAACCAGGCACAAAAGGGGGGACGTTTGAATTTCCTTTCTCTTTTTTAAAAAATTTACTAGTGTTCTGATCCTCATCACAAGCATGCTATCTTTTCTTTTTTTTTAAGTATTTAGAAACAATATTAAGGAATAGAATAGAGTGGAGTGGAGTGGAGTGGAATGGAATAGAAAATAGAATGGAATGGAATGGAAGAATGGAATTGAATAGGAATAGGAATAGGAATAGGAATAGGAATAGGAATAGGAATAGGATGTCAGGTTTCGATGTCGTCTCAAATAAAATAAATTGCATTTCCAAACAAATAGTCTTTGAAGAAATCTTTCATTTTATAATCACGACAACCTGTCCCCGATTGTGGTGTAGCCAACTCTGACTTCCTGACCCCAAAACCTTCCCTTTCCGTTCCCCAATTCTCTGCGTCTCATTGGCCCTCTTCCCAAATCACTCTCCCCATATCTACTACTTCAGGTCCCATGGATGTCCCCCCTCCCATCTCATCTCCTAGGGGATATTATCTTCAGGGAAAATAAGTAGGTGAGAAGTCAAGCGTCCTCTTGCCAGCTGCCCCCTCTTCTCCTTCTTATGTCAGCACTAAAGTAAATGCAGGTTGAAGTGCTGACAAGTAGAGTAGAGTAGAGTAGAGTAGAGTAGAGTAGAGTAGAGAATGGAATGGAATGGAATGGAATGGAATAGAATAGAATAGAATAGAATAGAATAGAATAGAATAGAATAGAATAGAATAGAATAGAATAGAATAGAATAGAATAGAAGGTGGAAGGGACCTTGGAGGTCTTCTATTCCAGCCTCCTGCTCAATCAGGAGAACCTATACTATTTCAGACCGTGGCTGTTCAGTCTCTTCTTAAAAACCTCCAGTTACGGAGCGCCCACGATTTCTGGTGGCAAGCTGTTCCACTGGTTAATTGTCCTCACTATTAAGAAGTTTCTCCTTAATATAGAGTGGTGATCTTAATATTAGCACTGGATCTGGGAAGGAAATATTTATTGTATAGCAAACAATTTCCTACAACTTCCCACTTTTTTTTTATTGCTCCGCTCCAGATGTAGATGCCCAATGCTATGATCGTTACATATATCAGATGGCCAAAGGTAGTCCCCAATTGCACAAAAATGTTAATTAGAGATGCTTTTTATTGTCTTCAATTTTTTCCCGTTTCCTAAGAGCATATCCTCACAGTGCTGCTTAATCTGGATGGATATTAACCGACCCAGGGTGGCTGCAATATTATATTTATCAATTTTATTATCTTCCTTATTTCCCCTTTTATTGGTATTGTTACTACTATTATTCTCTCTGTTGCTTTGCAAGTACTGTAATAAAGATAGTTGAGTGATCCGATGCTTATTAACGTTAATATTTTAAAGCGTAATTAGGATTGACAATACTTACTTCTTTTATTAAAAATTCAATGGCTTAAATTAATTAAACATTCGAGTGCTAATCATTCTTCATCAACATTGTAGAAATATCACAGTATTGAACTAATACAATGTGCAAAGCAAGTTTTATAACAGTATAATTAGAATAGAATAGAAAGTGGAATGGAATGGAATGGAATGGAATGGAATGGAATGGAATAGAATAGAATAGAATAGAATAGAATAGAATAGAATAGAATAGAATAGAATAGAATAGAATAGAATAGAATAGAATAGGAGAATGTAGAATGGAATGGAATGGAATGGAATGGAATGGAATGGAATAGGAATAGGATAGGATAGGGATAGGATAGGATAGGATAGGATAGGATAGGATAGGATAGGATAGGATAGGATAGAATAGAATAGAATAGAATAGAATAGAATAGAATAGAATAGAATAGAATAGAATAGAATATGGAATGGAGTGGAGTGGAGACTGGAGTGTAGAGTAGAGTAGAGTAGAGTAGAGTAGAGTAGAGTAGAGTAGAGTAGAGTAGAGTAGAGTAGAGTAGAGTAGAACAGAACATTGGCCATGTGTAATTGGACACAAGGAATTTGTCTCTGGTGCATAAGTTCTCAGTGTATATACAAACAACAAAGTGATATAATCATAAGATACCAATAGGAGAAGGTAGTAGAAAAGATGAGAAGGATAATAGCACTACAGCCCTACCACATGGGTAAATACCCTTAGACACAAGACAGCGCTATGCTAATTAGGTGTTCAGCGGAGTGATTAATATATATTTTAGGAAAGGACCGTAAGTTCTACCTTGGTTGATGTCAAGGATGTCATCATGAGGAGTTTCCTTCTCCTCTTCCTCCAGGTCATAATCCGGAGTGGGCGTTACTTGGAAGGTGTCTCCACGGCCATGCACGGGCTGGGCTGAACAAAGAGAAGTGGGTGTGGGGAGAGAATTCAGCCATCCTGTCTACCTGCCTGGCGAGTGCAGGAACCCAACAAAGTCTCTCTTGCTTCTGAACTCATCACCTCCTCGGTCCTTACCCCAATGGACCAACCTTCTAGGGCAGCGTTTCTTGGCTGCTTGAAGATGTGTGGATTTCAACTCCCAGAATCTCCCAGTCAGGTTTGATGCACACATCTTCAAGCAGCCAAGATTGAGAATGGAATGGAATGGAATGGAATGGAATGGAAGGGAAGGGAAGGGAAGGGAAGGGAAGGGAAGGGAAGGGAAGGGAAGGGAAGAGAAGAGAAGAGAAGAGAAGAGAAGAGAAGAGAAGAGAAGAGAAGAGATAGAATAGAGTAGAATAGAGTAGAATAGAGTAGAATAGAGTAGAATAGAATTCCTTCCTTCCTTCCTTCCTTCCTTCCTTCCTTCCTTCCTTCCTTCCTTCCTTCCTTCCTTCCCTCCCTCCCTCCCTCCCTGAAACTCTTCCTCCCTTCCTCCCTCCCTCCCTCCCTGCAACTCTCCTTCCTTCCTTCCTCCCTTCCTTTCCTCCCTCCCTTCCTTTCCTTCCTTCCTTCCCTCTCTCCCTCCCTCCCTGCAACTCTCCTTCCTTCCCTTCTTCCCTCCCTCCCTGCAACTCTCCTTCCTTCCTTCCTTCCTTCCTTCCTTCCTTCCTTTCTTCCTTCCTTCCTTCCTTCCTTCCTTCCTCCCTGAAACTCTCCTTCCTTCCTACCTTCCTTCCTTCCTTCCTTCCGTAAATCACGTGACCCTGGGGATGTTGCAACGGTCGTAAGTGTGAAAAACGGTCATAAATCTTTTTTTTTTCAGTGCCGTTGTAACTTCAAACGATCCCTAAATTTAAGCTTGTAAGGACAGCCTGCCTTCCTTCGCTTGAGCTAATACCAGCCTCCGCCACAAGAGGGCAGCTTTTCACCAGGGATTTCAAAAGGAGGTTGGCTCAATTATTTATGGTAATAAAACCTTAAGATCCTTGTGGCATCTTAAGAAGGTTGCCATGCCTACCTTCTGGAGTTTGGCACAATCTACTTGAAATGCCACGCCGAAAGCCTTCCCCTGCTAAATGCTAAGCTGGATGGTTTTTATCGGCGCTATCGGGGGATACATTAAGAGATTCTGTAATTCTAGAACTTCCTAAATCAGATTGTGTCTCCAGCAGAGGTTTGGTTTCAGCAGGTTCTGTAGAACCGGTAGGGGAAATTTTGAGTAGTTCGGAGAACCGGTAGTAAAAATTCTGACTGGCCCCGTCCCCATCTCTTCTCTGCCTCCCAAGTCCCAGCTGATCAGGAGGAAATGGGGATTTTGCAGTATCCTTCCCCTGCCACGCCCACCAAGCCACGCCCACCAAGCCACGCCCACAGAACCGGTAGTAAAAAAATTTGAAATCCACCACTGGTCTCCAGGCATGGTAACATCCATTACTCAGACTTCTTCTTATTTCATTTATTTATATTTAAGGGCTGCATAACTCCGGGTTTTGGGATGTTCGCAAGTCAAAGTATTAAAAACAAAGAAGTAAAAGTAAAGGTTTCCCTCGCACCTATGTGCTAGTCGTTCCTGACTCTAGGGGGCAGTGCTCATCTCCATTTCAAAGCCGACTCAACGCCAAAGGCTCACGGAACGCTGTTCCCTTCCCACCAAAGGTGGTCCCTATTTTTCTACTTGCATTTTTTACCTGCTTTCGAACTGCTAGGTTGGCAGAAGCTGGGACAAGTCACGGGAGCTCACCCCGTTACGCGGCACTAGGGATTCGAACCGCTGAACTGCCGACCTTTTGATCGACAAGCTCAGCGTTTTAGCCACTGAGCCACCGTGTCCCTTAAATGTAAGTAAAAGACCCCCCAAAAATGAAAAATAAAAGATACCCGAGATGACCAGAAAACCACACCTATGGAAAAGAAAATCCTCCCCAATCCAAATGGGGAAATGGAATCAAAGGAGTATAACAATCCTGGTTTATTGTCTGCACAACACAAAACACGGCCAGCCATGTTTGCTTAGCTGGATGTTCTAACCTTCTGAGCAGGAACAATGATTAAGTATCCTGCTCCACTAAGCAGTGGTTTGCTTTAACTAAGCAAAGGGGTCTCCAAACTTGGCAACTTTTAAGACTTGGGGACTTCAACTCCCAGAATTCCTCCGCCAGCTTTGCTGAGGAATTCTGGGAGTTGAATTCTGGCTGAGGAATTCTGGGAGTTGAAGTCCACAAGTCTTAAAAGTTGCCAAGTTTGGAGACCCCCGAACGAAGCCCTATTAAACAGGCCACCATGGCCTGGTTCAGATGTCACACCAAGCCATGATGCAAAAAAAAACAAAAAAACAAAAAACCACACCACCCCATAACGTTTCCTGAAAAACGTAGAACAGGGAATGTCCAACACTGACTATTTTTAAGACTTGTGGACAATACTGAGAGGGTTGAAGTCCACGGGTCTTAAAGTTGCCAAGGTTGGAATACCCCTGACCTAAAACATAGAATCCTAAGTCTGGAAGGGACCTTAGAGGTCTTCTAGTCCAACCCCGTTGTTGAAAGCAAGGAGGCCTTATCACCTCCTGGTAAAAAGCCCATCTGGTCTTTGCATGGCATAGTAGCAACTCGAGGTCAGAGTGAAGATGGCCAGAGTGGAAAATATGGTAAGAAAGAAGGGTGTTGGGACGGGGGGACGGACTCCCAGATGGCCTTCAGGGGCCTCCAGGGTGGGCCCACTGCCCCAAATCATGGCTTCTGAACTGTGAGGCCTAGAGTTAGAATAGAACAGAGTAACAGAGTTGGAAGGGACCTTGGAGGTCTTCTAGTCCATCCCCCTGCTTAGGCAGGAAACCCTACACCACTTCAGACAAAGGGTTGTCCAACCTCTTCTTAAAAACTTCCAGCATTGGAGCTTGTGTTAAGTCAAAACCGAAAGAGAAACGTGTTTGAACCCAACCTCTGACAACTTCTTGATGGCACTAGGGCAGGGATGGCTAACCTTTTTGCCGTTGCGTGCCAAAAGCGGGGGGGAGAGCGGGAAGGTCGCCCACATGCGTACCCACACCCATAATTCAATGCACCCCGCCTCTGCAACACCCCGGTGCCCCCCTCCCACACTTTTAGCATGTGATAGCACAGTGGGCTCGGTAGGCCCATTTTTCACCCTCCCCAGGATCCAGGGGCTTTCTAGGAGCCTGGGGAGGGCTAAAACCGCCTTCCCCAGCCCACCACACCGGAGGCCGGAAACAGCCCATTTCCCAATTTCCGGTGGGACCGGAAGGCCCAAAAATCAGCTGGCTGGCATACACATGCACGCTGGAGCTGAGCTACGGCAATCCTCGCGTGCCCACTGATATGGCTCGGTGTGTCACCTGTGGCACCCGTGCCATAGGTTCGCCATCATGGCACTAGGGATTCCTGCCCAGGACCTTACCTGAAAGAAGCCAAAGGCAGCCTATAACCAGGACCCCAAAGACATCGCAGAGACCCATGGCTGAGGAACCAACCTGAGGAACCAACTTTTGCAATGCTAGTTCTTGGCTTAACTACTAATTAACTCCAGGAGGAGAGAACCACAAGCATGCTTAAGAAGGGAAAATGCTCCTTGGGCTTCTTATATAGAGCTCAGGTGTAGCCAACACAAGCAGGTTAACCCCTTGTGTGACGGAGCCCATCAGCCTCTGCTGCACACAGGGCTGGGAATCCTAGAATCATAGCATTGCAAAGTATCATCATCTGATGGTCATCTGGTCAAACTCTTACTCAGTCCAGGAGACACAAGAGCCGGCTTCTCCAAAGTAGTCAATGGGGCTATTCCTTGTTGTTGTTTGTAGTACGGATAATTAAAGTAGTGTTTTATTGCATTAATGTTGGGAGGGGGTCATGAACCATCTGAAACTTGATGAGCTGAAAAATTTGGGGACTCCTGTTTTAAGAGCATTGGCCAACAGCCTGTGAAGACTTCTGGGGAAGGAAAATCCAGCTGGTTACTCCACTGCCTGAGAGCACCTACAACCAGGAAGTTCTTCCAGATGGCTACCATAGATCTTCTCCTTGTAGACTTAACTCTTGGTTCTGGTTCTGACTTTGGAGGTCTTCTAGTCCAACCCCCTGCTCAAGAGGAGACCCTATACCAGGGATTAGAAACCTGCGGCTCTGGAGTTGCATGTAGCTCTTTCATCCCTCTGCTGCGGCTCCCTGTCGCCTCCACAATTGATAAGGCTTTCGGTTAGGACAGATAGAGAAAAAAGGATGCCTCGCTAGGAGGAGACTCTATGATGGGGGAACTGGACTTCCGGTCGGCTCCAGAATTGAATGGGAGGCATCCGGTTAGGACCTTTGCGGCTCTTTGAGCGTCTAAGGTTGCCGACAAGACGTTGAGACTTTGGAAAGAGTGCAGAGAGAGCAACTAAGAGGATGGGAGAGCTGGAGCCTAAAATATATGTTGAATGATGGCAGGAATTGGGTATGTCTAGTCCGATGAAGGGAAGGACTAGGGGTGACATGACAGCAGTCTTCCAATATTGGAGGGGCTGCCACAAAGAAGAGGGGGTCAAGCTATTCCTCAAGGCAGGAGAAGAAGCAATGGATGGAAACTTATCAAGGAGAGATCCAGGAGTGAAATCTACTTACCTTGCCTACCGGTTTGGAAGTGCTCTTGGACCCTCTGCGCATTTGTAAACTCTTTTGCACATGCGCAGAGGGTAAAAAACAGGTTACTTCCTGGTTAAAACCAGGAAGTAATGTCGACCAGGCGGGTGGGAGGAGCCTCACACTGCCACCGCTACTGGTTCTCTGAACCACCCGCAGCCGCCGCTACCAATTCTCCCGAACTGGTGCGAACCGGTAGCATTTCACCAGTGGTAGGTTGCCCCCAGTTCGGACCGGTTCGTTAGAACCGGTAATAAAACCAGCGGGAGGCTCCGCCCACTGATCCGGATGTCATCATAGGGGATCTGCGCCTTCGCGCGGGCGCGATGCGAACCAGTAGTAAAGGTAAGTAGAACCCACCCCTCCATTTCACCCCTGGAGAGATCCAACTAGAACTAAGAAGAAAATTCCTAACAGTGAGAACAATTAATCAGTGGAATGGACTAGAAGACCTCTAAGGGCCCTTTCCAACTTTGCACATACGACAAACCCCCCCCCCTCGACTGTCTTACCACATTTCGTAACCCTGCAGTGCAAAGGAACCCATGTTCCAGGGGTGAAATCTACTTACCTTCCTTACCGGTTTGGAAGCGCTCGCGCCGCGCGCACGAGCTCGCTTCGCTCGCGCGCATGTCCCATGCCCGCACACACCTTCTGCACATGTGCAAAACTTTCTGCGCATGTGCAGAAGGTTAAAAAAAAACAACATTAAAACCAGGAAGTAATGATACCCAGGCGGCGATTGCTACCAGATCGCCGAACCACAGGGAAAAATCTCTACCGGATCGGGCGATCCGGTCTGATCCGGGAGCATTTCACCCCCTGCCATGTTCTTTTCTGATGTTCTCCTTACGCCTGCAGGCGAGGCTGTGCAAGGTCTGTGAAACTCAGGTGGAGCGTTGTTCGCACTGCGAAGTCCGCCACCTTCACTTTTTTGACCACGCTGGAAGAGATGTCTGCTCACAGGAGTTTGGGGGCCCAACTCAATCCCCAAGGAAACATCTTCTCCCACTGCATCATGTGTGTTCTGCATTGCTGGCTTGGGGGTGACTCTCAGGAAGGCGAGGAAGCTGTAAGTCAGCCTCTCCCTTCCCGCCGACTGACGCCAAGGCTTCCTGTGGAAGAGAAGCTCCAGATGAGAGGGTGGAGGAAGAGCAAGGCAGACAGTCCCTGAGCGTTGCAGGTTTGGCCCCGGGTGCAAGGACTGGTCTTATTATCTCCTGGCCAAGTCTAACGCCTCTCATTTCCATCCTGACACTTGAGAAAATAATTTTAGTCTGGCAGGATCAGTCAGTTTCAGAGCCAGGGGGTGTCTGCACGGTGTGTAAGCAGACAAGATGGTGGGTGCAGTTTTGTGATTCAAATCCTGCCCCCTTTGAAGACGGATTTAGAACAATCTTGGCCACTTAAGGCTTGTGGACTTCAACTCCCAGAATCCCCCCCAGCCAGTTAACCCCTTTAACCTGGGTTAAACAGGAGTGTCCAATCGTGGTCATTTTAGGTTTTGTGGACTTCAACTCCTAGAATCCCCCAGTTAACCCCTTTAACTGGGATTAAAACTGGGGTGTCCAACCGTAGTCACTTTAAGTTTTGTGAACTTCAACTCCCAGAATCCCAGCCAGTTAACCCCTTTAACCTGGGTTAAACAGGAGTGTCCAATAAACTGGAGCCAACATTGGAGCGGTTACTTTCCTTTCGAATGGCGTAGACGCAAAGGGTTTTCCACATTTTTGGATTGCTTTCAACCAGTGGTGAAATCCAAATTGTTTTACTACCAGTTCTGTGGGCGTGGCTTGGTGGGCGTGGTTTGGTGGGCGTGCCAGGGAAAAGGATACTGCAAAATCCCCACTCCAGGGGGAAGGATACTGCAAAATCTCCATTCCCACCCCACTCTGGGGCCAGCCAGAGGTGGCATTTGCCGGTTCTCCGAACTACCGTATTTTTCAGAGTATAAGACGCACCGGAGTATAAGACACACTTGAGTTTTGGGGGAGGGAAATAAGAAAAAGGCTGGTGGATCGGCCTCCTGGAATACCCCCAATCAGCTGTTCTCAGAGGTGAATTTTAGCAACAGGTTCCTTGGCTGTGAGCTCTGGGCCTTGCTTTTTTTTCTGCCTCTGAAACTTCTGAAACAGCTTCAGAAAAAAAGCCTCTGAAGCTCTGTTTGGAGGCTTTTTTTTCTGAAGCTTCGTTTCTGATGCTTTTTTCAGCCTCTGAAATCTCTGTTTGAGAAGCTGGGCGGGGCTACATTCGGAGTATAAGACGCACCCAGATTTTCACCCTCTTTTTTTGGGTGAAAAAGGTGCATCTTATACTCTGAAAAATACGGTACTCAAAATTTCCACTACCGGTTCTCCGAACTGCTCAAAATTTCCGCTACCGGTTCTCCAGAAGCTGTCAGAACCTGCTGGATTTCCCCCCTGCTTTCAACCCTTCAACCCAACTACCAAGAGCCTTGGTAGTACAGCGGTCTAAGGCACCCTGTTATTAAGCTGGTTATTAAGACCAGCTGCCTGCAATTACTGCAGGTTCGAATCTCGCCAAGGCTCAAGGTTGACTCAGCCTTCCATCCTTTCTAAGGTAGGTGAAATGAGGACCCAGTTTGTGGGGGCAATAAGCTGACTTTGTATAAATATACAAAAGGATGAAGGCTATTGCTTAGCACATTGTAAGCCGCCCTGAGTCTCCGGAGAAGGGCGCCATATAAATCAAATTTTAAAAAAAAAAACCGTTAAATCTCCATGCCTTTATTCTCTTTTTCTTCTCCTTGTTTCTCCCTCCTGCTGGCTTCCCGCCCTCCTTTTTTTCCTGGAGTAAATATAGGTTACATTCTTCCATCGACCATTCACGGATGCAGCTCCCTTCACCCCAGGCCCTTCGCCCTAGTGACTTGGGAAGAAGCGGTGCTTCTTACGTCTTGCGTTAAAGATTCTTTCGGCTCCCTCCCGCTGGGTCTTGAGAAGAAACCCACGTGCGGTCCGTGACTGCTTGTCACTTCCCACCCACCCAGCCAGCCAGAAATATTCCACTGGGGCTCGATTTAATCAGCTCTGCTGCTTCATCACAGCCCACTCGCTTGCCACAGCGCCCGAGCACATCGTGCCGCTCCAGATGTTTCCGTGAGTCTCCTTGTGGGCTCTTCTCCAACGCAGCTCCTAAACTTAGTTGTGGTACATTGACTCACTGCTCAGGCACACGCACACACCTGCACACAAGACAGTGAACCAGAAGGGAAGGGAAGGGAAGGGAAGGGAAGGGAAGGGAAGACAAGACAAGACATGAAAAGAAGAGAAGAGAAGAGAAGAGATGAAGAGAAGGGAAGGGAAGGGAAGGGAAGGGAAGAGAAGAGAAGAGAAGAGAAGAGAAGAGAAGAGAAGAGAAGAGAAGAGAAGAGGATTTGTCAACCTAGACAAGCAACCAAGAACTAAAGAGAGAAGCAACCTAGAATTAAGGAGAAAGTTCCTAACAGTGAGAACAATCAACCAGTGGCAGAACTTGCCTCCAGAAGTTGTAGATGTTCCATCACTGGAGACTTTTAAGAAAAGACTGGACAGTCATAGAAATGGTCTATGGTCTTGGACTAGAAGACCTCCAATGTCCCTTCCAACTCTGATGTTCTCTGTTCTAACCACAGGTTATGGGTTGTTACATGTCAACTGGGTCATTATGGTTGATTAAACAAACCATGATTGAGTGTATAGACCCTGATGACTAGAAGCTCCATCAAGCTCCATGAAGTCAAGGGAGGCTAGCTCCTTGTTTATTTTGGGGGGTGGGGGGGAGGGGAGCAAATTATAAAACGTGACATCCCACGACAACCACCTGACATCCTTGTGTGCATCATTATGTTTGTGGTTTGCTGCAGATGCTGCTTTGTGGATCATGAAAGAGACCGAGAGTTCTCTATAGGGCCTCATCAATAAGGATTTCAAAATGGCAACCCTGACATAATTTAACACAATAGGTTGTGTGCACTGAGTAACGTGGCTTATTCAGTCAACCGAGGTTAAGCAAACCATGGCTTAGGGTGTTGCATAAACGAAGCCTCCATTATTTTATTGGTAGATAACTGGGTATGCTTAGAACGATGCGGTGGCCTAGAATTGGAGCTCTCCCCTCACAATCAGGAGGCTGTGAGTTCGATCCTAGGTAGAGGCAGATATTTCTCTCTCTGGGCACAGTGAGAATATATCTGCCGAATAAAACTCCGCATTGGTGACAGGAAAGGCATCTGGCCATTAAAACACTCTGCTCGCTCCATTCAGTTGGCCAAGACTCCACCCCGCAAGGGATTATGGGATCTTTAAAAGAAGATGAGGATAACCGGGCATGCTTAGATTGTCAGCCAAGCATCCAAGCTGGAAATTCCTGAACAAGTAGAGCTGTGAATACAACATCGTTGCCGCCATTTTGACTTTTTTTGACCATGCCGCCGGGCATTCCTCTTAAGCACACTGAGGGCAAATGAATTATTTCATCCTACAGGCAATAAATAAAGGACCCTCACCCTCACCCAACCAAACAAGCATTTTGAGACACACATCCTGTCAGGGCGCTGATTAATCCCATTCTGCCTTTGGGATAATCGCACCTTGATTAAGAAGTCGATGGATCGAAACCATCCTCTGCTACCAGGTGTCAGGGCGCTGATTAATCCCATTCTGCCTTCGGGATAATCGCACCTTGATTAAGAGGAGTGGATCGAGACTTTTCCTTGCCAGCATACTTTTAAGAAAACAAACCCGAAGATATATCTTCTAAGAAAACTCATTTATTTGTTATAAAGAAAATAAAACATCTTACTATCTAAAAGAAATTAATTGTTACATTTTTGCAAAAGTTCTTATCGGCTACTTCTCAGCAGCCAGACATCTCTTGGCAAGAGAAGAAAGAAAAGTGTGAGAATGTGTAGGAATATGGGTGGAGAGACATGCGCAGTTTAGCTTACTGATAACAATTCTTGGCAAGCTACGGAAAGTCTGATAGTCCAGAAATGAGAGCTCAGCTGGTAAATAAAAAAACGCAGTGACACATCCTGCCATATAAAAAGTGGTTGTTTATTGCAACAGGTGATAATAAATATAAAGTGCAGAAGACATTTTGAAATCAATGTCCTTCAAGAAAGAGGTTCTCCTAACAGCACACGCATGGTAGGAACAAGTGAGTATTGCTTTTTGGGAGAGTGAGAGAGTGGAAGGGAGAAGTTTGGGGCCCAATCCACCACTGCTCCAGACCCGCCTCTTCCCCGCCCCCGACGATTGTGCTCAAAGAGAAAGAGGGCCCCGAATTGTCCCATTTCACTTCACAGATGGGGAGGTCGACCTTCATCCCAGTTGGACAATTGTGTCCACACAACACATTTCCATTGTCGATTGTTGGTTTGCCTGACCCAAAGGTGCCAGATTAGGCTATCTGGATGGGAAACACTAGTGTGTGTTTCACACAAGGCATTAATAACGCAGGGGTCTCCGAACGTGGTCCACTTTAAGACTCGTGGACTACAATTCCCAGAATTCCTTAGCCAGCATGGCTAGCTAGCTGGGGAATTCTGGGACTTGAAGTCCACGAGTCTTAAAGGGGACGGCGACGTTTGGAGAGCCCTCCACTAATGGGATATCGGTGTGCCCCAAGCATGTTGTTGTGTGAACTCAACTAGGGTGATTTGCAAGCCAGGATTTACGGCTTGGCATCCTTCAGCCAACCGAAGATGCTCGGAGGCCGACGCCTACCTAGCTATGGGCTTTCTAAAGAGCAAACTCATCTGTCGTTCAGGCCACTTCAATCTTCGGGGGCTCCAGTGGGATTTCTCGATGTTTTTTCATGCCAAAAATGGTCAAGAAATGCAAAGTGGGTACAGCTGACCAAGACACTGAGATGTTTAGCAGAGAAGGGAATATAATGTTGTCCCTCAGTTAGATGACAATGGACATTTGGACCAGGGGTCTCCAACCTTGGCATCTTGAAGACTTGTGGGCTTCAACTCCCAGAATTCCTCAGCTGGCTGAGGAATTCTGGGAGTTGAAGTCCACAAGTCTTCAAGTTGCCAAGGTTGGAGACCCCTGATTTAGACATCTCTCTCTCAGTTTGCTGGTTTTCTTGCAGATGTTTCACTACCAAAGTAGGTAACATCCTCAGTGCTAGAGGAGAATGGGGTTTGGTCTTCACACCCTACTCCCTTCTTGTTCTGATGACGCTACCTACTTTGGCAATGAAACGTTTTCAAGAAAACGGCTGTGCGCACGGAGCAGAATTCAACCCTGAGCTACAAATACTGGTACCTCCACCTTAGGGGGCTTCTAAGCTGTTCCTCCAAAGTACAAGTCAACTTTTTCCAGCTTTAGCACAAATGAACTTTCGAGCGTTGAAGTCATGGCAAAAAAGAACATATCAATGTCACTTTGGACATTTACATGTTCATATTACTGTACTCAACGTAATGGTCTACCCAAGGCAACTGATGACCGACAGCATAGCAAGGTCTCAGCTGTCCATCAACCTGAACCTGCTCCCACTATCCAATCCATAAGACCATTAGCAATCTGGACCTCTTTTTTTTAATAAAAAAAGCCTGTCATTTTAATACACATTATGACTTTTTAATAATAATAAAAAAAATGCGCCGATTTCCGTCTATAACTTGACGTCCTCCGGAGATACCCAAGGATTTAGTCGCCTGGGCTAGAAAGAAATGGCCCCCTGTCCAATTTTGGAGGACGCAAAGGGAGGGACAGGTAGTCCTTGACTTACGACGGTTCATTTAGTGACGGTTCGGCGTTAGAACAGCGCTGGGAAAAAGTGACTTGCAAGCCTGGCCGTTTTTCACGCTTACGACCTTACGTTGCAGGATCCCCAGTTCGGAGGCTTGAAAACTGACTCGCATTTATGACGGTGGCTGTGTCCCTGGGGGGTTTGGGGATGTGGGGTGTCATCTGATTTTCTTTGGGGGACCTTCTGAGCAGCAAAGTCAATAGGGAAACCCGAATTTGCTTCATGACCCGGTTGCTAGTTTAACAACTGCCGTGATTCGTTTAACAAATGCGGCAAGAAAAGTCGTAAAATGGGGGGTGGGGAAAACTCACTCATCCCATGTCTCTCACTTGGCGCCCTCAACGCCGGGCTCAATGGTGGTTGTACATCGAGGATCACCTGTTACTCTGGTTGATTTATGCAATGCATCCAAAACTAGCAGTCAGTGGGATTCGCGCGGACAACGGACAAATAAATAACATTTGGCTCTCTTCGGATGGGGGACGGTTCGCCCGAGGGGAGCCGAGCAGTTCCTTGCTAATGGGGCTGAACCTCTTGTCTCACATTTATTTCTCTTCGTTTCCAGCTTATTCGCTTTTTTCCTTTCATAGTCATGCAATAAAAGCCAATTTCACACGGCGGAGGAGAAGTCCGAGCGGGGTGGGGGAAGGGCATGGCTCCCCCCTTCTTTCCCCATCTGGGATGTAAACAGAAGTGCCCCCACCCACTCCCAAATCTGTCGTCCGTAAGGAGCCCCTCTTGGCCTCCTCCTCCTCCTTCTCCGCAGAGCGACGAGAAGCAGCGGGCTAATGGCACAGCACCTCGGTCTCGAACTGCAGGAGCTGTCCCATGAAGCCGAAATTGGGCGAGATGACCCCGCGGCGCTGTTTGACGAAATCGAAGGCTTCCTCCAGCCGCACCCGGCGGCTCTGGATCAGGTAGGCGAGGCAGATGGTGGCGGAGCGAGAAATGCCCGCTTGGCAGTGTACCAGCACATGCCCACCGCTGGCCTTCACGGAGTCTGCAGAGAGAGAGAGAGAGAGAAGAGGAGAGGAGAAGATCAGAGGTGGGGAGGAAGACCTTAGGAAAACCACCATGCCTAAAAAAAAAGACCCTTTGACTGTCCTGGGGTGGCACAGAATGGGGGTGATGAGGTCTCACGGTGCCACCTGGCAAGGTGTAACGCTTGGAAGGATGGCCGAAGCAACCTTCTTGCTCCAATTTGCTCCAAATTGAAGAGATAGGACAGGTCAAACCAAGGGGACAACGTTCAGTGTTTGGTGTCCATTCATCAGTTGAAGACAGAACTTTATTTATTTGTCTGAAATGGTCCCTGCTTGAATAGGTACCTTGCCGCCCTGAGTCTTCGGAGAGGGGCGGCATATAAATTGAATTAATTAAATTAAATTAATTTAATTAATTGGTTGGACTAGAAGACCTCTCCCAGGTTCCTCCCAACTCTGTTAATCTGCTAATTTCCCACTTGGTCTAGGACTTGAGTCTCCAACTTGGGTAATTTTAAGACTTGTGGACTTCAACTCTTAAGAGTTCCTCAGCCATCAAAGCTGGTCGGGGCTTAAACCTGGGTTTAAAGTTGGTTTAAAGACCATTGGTCTAGGAAACAGCTTCTTGTGTTAAACATTGCTCGGGTAGGATCTTTCTCAGATTACCAGCTGCTCCGTAAAATTCACAGGAAAGACAGAGGACCTCTTGTCTCTCCAACTGCCCTTTGGAAAAACTGGATCTAGAACTGTAACTGATTCCAGAACATTAGAGCCTTGATAGTACAGTGGTTTAGTGCACCCTGTCATTAACACAGCTGCCTGCAATTTCTGCTGGTTCGAATCTCTCCAAGGCTCAAGGTTGACTCAGCTTTCCATCCTTTCTAAGGTAGGTAAAATGAGGACCCAGTTTGTGGGGGCAATAAGCTGACTTTGTATAAAATATACAAAAGAATGAAGGCTATTGCTTAACGCATTGTAAGCCGCCCTGAGTCTCCGGAGAAGGGCGGCATATAAATCAAATTAAAACAAAAAAATTAGCTTGCAAACTCTATATTTAGCTACTGCTGTTCTCTGAAAGACCCATCCTCCATAAACAGGTCCAAAGCTCTAGCCTCATCTTTAAAGCAGGCCTCCTAATTATGTAACGAGTTGGATATGAGTCACGATTCTATCATATTCCCATGTACGGCCGTATAATAGAACGTTCACCCAAAGAGACCTCAAGTTGGCTTAATTTAGTTCTCTGCAGATATTCTTAAAACAACGACCGGCAACCTAGAGATGCCCCCTCCTCCCACTAGCGCCCACTTTCAAGATCACATCATCAACATTTTGTGGCAAAAATGGCCAAATGCCAGCACTATGATTTTCATCAGTTATTGACGATTTAGAGTGGTTTAATGGTGTAAATAGGAATGGTTTGCCTATGGAAAAGTTTTTATGACTAGAAATTAGGATAGGATAGGATAGGATAGGGTAGGATAGGATAGGATAGGATAGGGTAGGGTAGGGTAGGGTAGGGTAGGGTAGGGTAGGGTAGGGTAGGGTAGGGTAGAATAGAATAGAATAGAATAGAATAGAATAGAATAGAATAGAATAGAATA